GCCACCATCGCCACCACCAATACCACCAAAAACCCAGCACCACCCTTGTTTAGCCACCACCATCAAAAACCCACCACCACCGAAAACCCAAACCTAAAAAAAATAATTCCACAGAGGGATCAGAGAGAGAGAGAAAGGGATCGATGGAAATGGAGATGGAAAGAGTAGAAAATTTGAAAAATCAGTGCTTCCTCGCTGGAGCTTCCTTCGCTGGGTTGAGTTGATCCATGGAGGTGCTTCGCAAGAGAGAGACGAACGAGAGATAAAAAAGAGTTAAAAAAGGTCATTTTATAGTTGAAACAAAAAAAATGTATTTTGTGCTGTTAATGGGGTTCAAAGACGATACCTCATTAATTAGGGGTGAGAGGCGCGCGTTTGTTTGCAGTTTCCCTTGTTTTTGAAAGCACCTAAATATTTGTTTTCAAAAACAAGGGTTGTTTACAAAACGGATTGGCCAAAAAAAAATAAAAACGCGCCCCAAACAAATTTTTTTTGTAAAAATTAAAAACAAAAACAAAAAAAAAACGAAAACAACCCGTTACCAAATACGTTATTGGATTTTCATTAGTTTGGTTTAAATTTTTAATCCAAATCAATTTATTTTTTTCATTTTTCCATCAAACGTAAAAGATAAAAAACCTATTTTCTTCCTTCAAAGATAAAAAACTTATCTCTTGTATTTTTTTATCCCTCTAAACATTTCATCCCTTCTACCAAACGGAGGGTACGAGTGATTGTTCAAATTAGATCAATTTGTTAGATGACTATTCATCTATATGAGAATTGAAGTAAAATTTAATAGGTCAAGTAAATAAAGTTTAGCAACAAAAAATGTAATGCCCAATTTAGGGCAAAACCAAGACATGAAAATGCATAACTGTGCTAAACATCAAACTGAGTTTTATTTATTTGAGATATGACGAGTTAATGGTATTAGCACCATGTTTTTTAGATTTTTTTAAACTTATACCCTAATTTTATTTTTATTTTTTTTCAATATTTTTTTTTTTTTGATAATACAAGTTGTAATTTATTTGTAATTACACATATTGTATAATAATAATTGATGTTAATTTTATAATTTTTTTTGTGATCAATCTCTATAAGTAAGGCCCACCCTAGATTTAAGTTTCTAGCTTCGTCTTGTTAGTGGGACTATTTTGAAAGCTTTAGAATATTGCTTCATTATTTATTTATGTATATTTAGAGTGTTGTATCTATGTGCTTTTATTGGGTTTGCTTGACGTTTTTATATTGTTAGGATAATTTTTTTCTAGAAGACAAATTTCACATGAATACTTATTTTTTCACAGAAAAATAAAAAAACAAAAATATTATCTATGGCAATCTTAGAATCTTCAAATTATGAATGTCAAACCATTTCTTTTGTATCTATTTGTAATTTTTAATACAATACAAATAGAGGAGATAGAGATAGGGGAGAAAGAATAAACAATAAATTCAAAAGAAGAAAAAACCATTATTACAAAATAATGAATTTTTTTTAATAATGTCTCAGACATCCAAGGAAGGATTAAAGCAGCATAATCTCTCAAGCCTGGCGAAGGCGAAAGATCTTAGGCGGCCACTGCGAATGTTTTGAGAAACAAGCCTTTGGACGTTTCATCACTGACATAAAACTCAATATGCAAACTCAGTTCAATTTGGTCTTCAAAAGATTTAACTTTTTCACCCACCTTCAACAAAATCTGATCCTTCAACAGGAAATTTTTCTTCAATAAGAGAAATTAAAAAAAAAATCATTAACAACATGAAAAGCGAAAATATATTGGGTATTTTAAGCAAAATAACTGATTAAATTAATGCAATCGATCACGAGAAAGTAGAAAGAGTACCCCCTCAGAATTCGTAAGAAATTGAATCAATCACACACAATCTGAATTAGCATGGTCAATAATGAAAGCATCACAGGGAGAAAATAAAGATAAATATCAGAAATTGAAAAAATATTAGTAATATTGAAGCTAAAAATAGTAGAGGTGGGTGAAAATAAAACGAAAAATAAAATGGATGAAGCTCAGATAAACGTTAGAATGGAGTCAATTCCCAGACCTCTAGCTCGAAGCAAAAGGTCTCATAATGAGCTGGGATTAACGTTTATCATCATTGTCCCACATACATATAACAAAGAACAATGGAGTAAAACACATCTAAGACTGTGTGTGCGTGTGTGTAGTGGGGGGTGAGTGAGAGAGAGAGAGAGAGACAGAGAGGCTCTGCAGAAGAAAGATGGGAATTTGAGATTAAATAGTTGAAGAGGTTGGNTTGTGTAGTGGGGGGTTAGAGAGAGAGAGACAGAGAGGCTCTGCAGAAGAAAGATGGGAATTTGAGATTAAATAGTTGAAGAGGTTGGCTAGGGTTAGGGTTTTGGTAAACGGTGACCGTATTTTATTTCCAACCATAACCCTGGAGTTGGGATATAATTACTAACGCCGCTATATACTATTTGACCAATGGGCAAAGGCCAAACTTGAATTAAAAATAAATAAAAATTTTGATTTAGTATGCATCTGTCTACTCTCTCCAATGGCCAAATTCATTTTTTATGCTTATATCTTTTTAAAATTCTCAATTTAATTTAGGTCAAATTGCCACACAAAGTTGAATTTCTTCTAAACTTAAATATTTTAAAATCGANAATATACTATTTGACCAATGGGCAAAGGCCAAACTTGAATTTAAAATAAATAAAAATTTTGATTTAGTATGCATCTGTCTACTCTCTCCAATGGCCAAATTCATTTTTTATGCTTATATCTTTTTAAAATTCTCAATTTAATTTAGGTCAAATTGCCACACNAATTCATTTTTTATGCTTATATCTTTTTAAAATTCTCAATTTAATTTAGGTCAAATTGCCACACAAAGTTGAATTTCTTCTAAACTTAAATATTTTAAAATCGAACTTATTTATAGTAAATTTTCAACTACCAAAAAACAACTCTTTTGATTAGGTGTGATAATAGTGTCGTATTATTTCGGTTTTGTGTCTTAGTCAATCCTAACCCCCAATTCGTTTAACTAATCGTATTGAATTGAATTGATTCATTTGCTTTCATATCATATTCATATTGACTCATATTACTTAAAAATAAAAAATTTAATGCCCTACTTTAAGTCTAAAATTTACTTGTCACTTAATCGTCCTTATGTTCATATTTTTTTTATAAACTAAAAATTAATTTAATAATATAATAATTATGTCACTATTTAATAAAATATAATAACAATTAATATTTTATTCTTATAATATTAATTAAATATATTAACTATGTCAATTTCACTTTTGACACTAACGCAATTATTATTCTTGTTAATAAATCATATCATTTATAAGTTCGCGTCAATTTCAAAACATATTTCTTATTATCTCATAAATTGCCACCCCTACTTTCGATATCCTGGTCTTTCGCTAATCTAGTATATCTACTCTTGTACTCTCGTTCCCGTGCGCCCTGTAGTTCTCAAATGTCTCAAGCCAATCATGGTCAATACGTGTCCCTTCTGACCAACCAGTGTCCTATTAAAAGTTCTTCAATCAGTATAATTTTCTAACAATTTTTTCAAATTCGAAAACTTTAATAATCGCTATTAAAATATCTTAACTCGCAAGCTATATTACAAACATTCGAACAAGGGATGTCAATTTTTTAAATAGATAACTCTTACTACTCTGCTTTATTCGAAAATTATAAATAAAATAATAAATGTACGACGAATTGAAAATGTAATGACATTGAAGTTAACAATCAAAGAACTTTGTAATATAATTCAACGTGCTGAGACAAATGAAAGAACAATGAAATCATATATGTTTGTAATCACGTTATTAGTGGTGATGTTTTTTAATGTGTTTTATTATATAGATGCATTATTCTACATCATGCTCAACATTTTTACTGGTGACAACACAAAACTGGTCCCAAGTTTCTGCAGTGAAAACTATAAGAGAGACTCTGGCCCCTGATTAATCATAGAATCTAAACCCAATGGTGGAATTACTCTTTTCCGCATGAGTGTCTCTATAGTTGGGCACTTCCTTTTCCGGCCACCCCTTGGCCTTGACCGGAATTGCTCATCAAACTCCTCGAAATCACCCTGACCCAAAGCAATGATATAATCAACCATCAGTTTATGAACCACAACTTTCGTGAACAAAGAAATCAAAATAGATGGCTTACAGCATGATGCAACAGAAATAACATCATAAGGTCAAATCAAATAAAAACTTACATGAATATAGACATGGCACCCAGATTTCTCATGGTTATCCCTCACGTGCTTGAATGGGAATCTCATGCCACAACCAGGAATGCTGCAGACAAATGGTTTTAGTTCAAAGTGCACGGCTTTCACATGCTGATTGAGATTTGATTTCTGTAAATGAATAAATAAGTGAAAGAGATATCAGCAAAAACATAGCATCAGTAACACTGCATAACAGAGAGTATTTAAGTTCATTAGTCCCCATCGTTTGATTAGTGTACCAACTACCAATTCAGAAATTTGTCACCTTTAGACAGGCAGCAACTTAACTGAGTAGCACAACATATTGGGAAATTTTCATGCTACCCATACAACAGCTAGATAGATACACAGAATAGTATTGAAAGGTTACAGACTCTTACAGTGGAAAATGTGTGCAAGCAACCCTTGAAGCAACATTTTATTCTCTCTGATGATTGACGTGCTTCATGCATGCGGAGATGCCGCTTAATGTTCTTTTTCAATTGCTTGGTCCTGCATATCTCACAAGTAATATGCTGATGACAAGACTGCAGATGTGCCTTGAGGCATTGGTCATTTGTGAAATATTTCATACAGCCTGGTTCTGAACAAAATGCCTCCGCTGCGTCCAACTTAACTGCAATAGCGAAGAGTTTTATCAAAGGTATGCAAATGGCAACTAATGTCCCCACTGAAGTGTAGCTGCATTTATATGGCCTACTTGGACAATTAAAAACTACGAATCTTTAAGTCTACAGTACAATAGGCTTCAAAAATGTAAAGAAAACCAACTGACCATGAGAATCTTCATGTTTCCTCAATTTTGATGCATATTTGAACACCTTTCCACACCCAATTTCTGGGCAGACATACTGCTTCTGACCCTCAACATCACTGGAGGCAGCCTCCCCACTGTGAAATTCCTTCTCGTGCCTCTTCATGTTACCTTGGAAAGCAAATCTTTGGTTGCAGTTCTGTACAGGACACTCAAAGAGCTTCCCTTGGTGTTGAAGAAGGTGGCGATTCAGGTGGTCATTCCGTCGGTAGCTGGAATGACAGTCATCTACTGGACAAGTAAATGGCCTCTGTACCAGAATAAATAAATATCAATATCAATATAAGCTTCCAAAATTCCCACTTTGTGAAAAACTACATATTTTCACTACACTAAAGAAAAGATTTTCAAACCTCAAAAGTGGAAACAGTGCGTGATTGAGGCTCACTTGATGGAGCTTCTCAGGAGGTCTCCCTACCTGGTACTATTCCAATCAAGGTAGATATTCCTGCCTCTCGCATTATGGAGTTCTTTGTGTGGGATCCAATGCTTCACGCAAACATCCATGATTCATTTCACATAATTTCTCAAGCACTTAATTAACTTCACAACCTGCAACACCATTTGAGTTCAACTCACGCATGTACTACTAAAGCATAGATTAATTACATATGCTAGGTCCCAGTGTTAAGGCCTAATAATAAAAATGCAAGCACCACAATGCAAAAGGATACATAACCGTCATAGATTAATTTGTCCAAGTGTCATCAAGAAACAATAGTTTCTTCGATAAATAGCTCAGGGATAAAAAAAGCCCAATTAAGAATGAAAAATTGCAATCACCACTTCATGTTGGGAGAAAACTTTTTGGGTTTTGGGCCACCATAACTTGCGTACAATCCCTATTTTTCACTCCCTCCTCCGCCCTTTTTTCCCTACTCATTTTGGTGCAACAAGATCTGGGGATTTGGTATGCTAACTTGTCAAAATTAACAGGGGAAACTTTGAGCACTAGCAAAAATAACCAGCATCTGCTTATTTCGATATTAAGAAAGTTAAAATACTTCACAATGTCTTACTACAAACTACATCTCTAAAGTCTGACACATATTCAGATTTCCTAAACCACCAGCAAAACTGATTGCCACTGCTGGAATAACATACCTGCATATTGAAGTATGTATAAATAACTTACATGTGCAAACACAATTTATAAAAGGGAATGTTAAGCATGAACACCATGAATGTATATATCTACAACTATAATAGAAACATAGTCAAAGATTACTTCAATGGTCAAGAATATATATTAAAGTTTAAACCCAGGAAAAAATTAATTCAGACCAATTAATAAAAAACAAATAAAGTCGTTTGGTGAAAGCGGGGCAGATTAATCAACAGTCAAATAGTTTACTTAAGTTTTTAAAGAGCATAAAATTGAAATTCCAACTCACCTCAAGTGAATGGCTTTGCATATGCTGCTTCAAATGAGCAGGCTTTCGGAAACTTGCACCACATTCTTCACACGTATTGAATCTCTTCCTTTCCTGTTCCCCATCTCCCTCAGCTTTTTGCTCTTTCATTTCGTCCTAATTAACAGCCAGCAAAAAACCAACTTCATAGTTACATTAACATAAAAACTATTACTTACCCATAAGAAAAAACAACTTATGACCACCAGTCATGTTCATTGTTTTAATAAAGATTAAGTCGATGACTTAGAAATCAGCACAAATTGGAATAATTAGAATTTGAAAATTTTGTAGCACACGCTGGTCGGCCCCAAAATTTACTATACAAATTTCCTCTTCAATAGCCTACCGTTTGTTTTTACCTATTTGATACACAATAATTTCTAGTAATCAGTAAGGACTAAGGACTAACCATATCAAATACAATAACAAATACGAAGTATCAACAAATAATATTGTTAATAGTCCCCAGATAAATGCAATATTATATAAAGTAATTAAGTAGTGGTCTGAAAGAATAAAATCTGAAATTAGAAGTCTATTGTTTTGGATATTAGAATCGCTTAAGCTTGTTCCTTCAAAGACCACCCAAGCTTCATTGCAATCTTGTGTGTCTAGAGTGACCAACCAAACCCAAATTCTGCTCTCAATGTTAGCAGACAATTAACATTCAGTTAACAAATCTGTCTGAGACAGTTAAACTGGTTCTTTATGCATCACACGTAGTGACCAGTTTTGTTGATTCTAGATTGCCTCTCCAAGTATTATTTTTCGCTCTTTCGGAAATTATTTTTACAATCGAACACATAATCAAGAAACTACAGATTATAGAAGCAACAACTTTAACACTGAAAATCAAGCTCCTGCTAAAACAGCGATAAAATATTTCTTAGGACAAAATGATAGAACCCCGTAAACAAATCCTAATTCGTTTAAGTCTCTAATTACTTTTACTTCCCTGTCTACGTCTTAACTCCACACATACACTGACAGATCAAAGAATGTTGATTCATTGTGTGAGAAAGAGAGAGAGGGAAACCTAACTAACCTGGTGCANCAGAATTGAGGTCACATACACTGACAGATCAAAGAATGTTGATTCATTGTGTGAGAAAGAGAGAGAGGGAAACCTAACTAACCTGGTGCAGAGAGAGTATGTGAGAGGTGATGAGAGACTTCTTGGAGCGACAGAGGCCACAGTACGGGCAGAAGTATCTCCTTAGGTCTCTGAATATTGGTTGTTGTTCTCTATATACACCTCCTTGTCGTTCTTCTTCTTCCATTACTGGAGAGCGAAGAGACATCAGAAGAGGTGGAAAGACTGAAGCGGCGCTGGGAGGATAAAAGGGGAAAAGGCGTAGGGTTGGGAATTTATGGTTGGTGTCAAACGAGCCAAGCTTCACGACACTCGAGTCTTCTCAGGCTCGGCTCGTATTGTAAAAGGGTTGTTAGATTTGGCTCGTTGGAGGATGCTCGAAAAAAGATTTTGCTCCTTTTTTGTTTTGTTTTTTTTTCGGTGGTGGCAATGAAAAGAGCGTAGCGACCATCCCAATTGGCCTCATCAGTGACATCATAAGGGTTCTGACTGCGCTTAAAACACCTCTCGAGATCAAACTTTAATAAGATAATATAACGATTAATCACTAAATTTTAATGGAGACTCCAATACTCAAACTCTCAACCTCAACTTAGGATACTCAAACTCTCAACCTCAACTTAGAGAGTAAGACGGGTAAAAAGAAATATTTGGCTAGTTGGAACAACTCCAAGGATATTAATTAAAGTAATTAGTCAAAATATATATTTTTTTATTACATTATCAATTTTAAAGATAAATTTTTATTAATTTATTTCAACAACGCTCTATATTTCAACTAACTATTATAATTAACTTTAATCACTATTAATAATTAAAATATAAAATTAACAAATTTTCACAAATCACAGTCATAATTCACAAACATAGCCATCATATTTTGGTTGCCCAAAAACTTAAAAAAAAGTACTTGATCACCCTATGTTTTGCCAAAACCAAAATCAAAACTCATTTAATTCCACCGAAAAATAAATAATATTGTATCACACAAAAATCAAAACCCAAATGGTGCTTGGGGCAAACTGGAGCAATTCGAACGCCATAGAAAGAAGAATTGAAGGTCGATGAAAAGGTTGATTTGGGAGAGGAGGTTACAGTCAAAGGTGAGATTGAGATGGGTGGAGTTGCATTTACTGCTAATTTCACAAATTTAGTCGGTAAGGATTTTGGTGGGAGGTTTCAGTGGGATTTTTGGATGGAATTTTTAGGTTTTTTGTGGGTTTTTCAGCGGAAACCGAGACAGAGAAAATGAGAGAGATACTGGGTTGCAGTAGAATTTTTGTGACACCATGTATACACCCACACACACAGTGTGAGACTCGAGAAAACTAATTAGGCATTTTATTTTATGTCAGAGATTTAAATACAAAGTACTTATTTTAGTCATTATATATAAAATTAAAATAGTTAAAAATATATATATTTTTACTTGTTTCAGATAAGCCAAATTTTGGAGATAAATTCCTAAAGTGGGAAAAATTTTAGAACCCGAACAAACATGTAATATTTTTAATAAGTATATTCATACATGACATGCATCCGTAGGAGTGGCAATCAGTATTTAATTATGAGTAATGATATGAGACCTAAACTTGAATAATGAAAATTTTAATATTCATAAATAATTTATAAACAATGGTTATAGGGGGAATTGTTTTATTCAAGTGTGAAAAGTTAAATAAAAATGTTGACAGATATGAGTTTATTATTTTATATACGTTAGCGCATGTGAAATTAATTGAGTGGCAAGCATGTAACATCAATTTATTGTTATTAAAATAAAATGTGTTAGCATATATAAGGAATGGTTAAGGGTTCAAAATATAAATTTAATGGGTGATCAATAATTTGGATATATATATACATGTCTATGTATAAATATGCATGTAAAGAAAAAATGGATATATAAATATAAATATGTATATATATACATTATATAAGAAAATATATGTATGAATATATGTGTGTGTGTGTGTGAGAGAGAGAGTAATGATGGAAGTCTCCACTCTTGCATGTCTTGCATGCAAAATAAAAAATAAAAAATAAAAGAGAAACAACATGGAAGGCTCCACTTAGCAGGACATGCAAGGCATGTCTTGCATGCCAAAACAAAAAAAGAGGAAGTCTTAAGACATTTTCGGCAAGAGCAAGAACAAGAAGGAAAGAAGGAGAAAGAAAGAAAGGGAAGAAGAAGGAAAGAAAAAAAAAATTGTGGGTGCAAAGGTAAGAATTGTAATTCATGTTCTTCCTCTAAGATGTACGAATCCAACTCTAATATATGTATTTTGAGTGTTTCATGTATATAAAGTATGGTATCTTTTAAGTATGATGCTTAGTAAGAATTTTGATTGATACATGAAGGATTTACCTCAATATTTATATAGGTTTGTAAATTAAGTTAATGTTGTTGCATGAAAAATAGAAGAGTAGAATTATTGCATATGGGTTTGTTGGAATACTTGTTATGAATGCATAGTACCATAGGTGTTGCTTGAAAAAATTAGCATAGTAGTTTGGTGAGTAGCTTATAAATCTTGTGAATTGTTCTTGAATTTCTATGAATCCATGAATATAAGTAATTACAAGTAAACATGTCATTTTATGGTTAAATAGAAAATTACGCAAATTTCAGTATATTTTTGTTATGTTTATAATTTTATGAAAAATGTTAAATTTTGGGTGTAATTGATTCGAATAAATATTTTCTAAAAGGATTCAAGAAGATTAGCTAAATTTGGTTCGAATAGATAATTTTACTTTATGCGAATTGATTATTTAACTTGACTCGAGTTGATTATCAAACTATTAGTTTAATCAGTTCGAATAAATAATGTTATTTAATATAAATAAATTATTTAATTCGAAGGGATATAACCATTAAACTAGGTTCGAGTAAACCATCTCGAACTTAAGCGATATTACGTATTAATGTATGAATGGAATTGAGAATATCAGTTATGCCAGGTCTGGAGATGAACATCGCTAAAAATGGCGCATTAGAAGCTTTGGCAGAGGGGTCGTTTACGAATAAAACATCATGCAAAGTAAGTGCACCACCCTACAATTTTTTTGTGATAATTTATTAGACTTTTAAACATATATTTTTGCTACGGTTATTGTTGAGAATAATTAATTGAGGAAAGACATACGATAGTGTTGTGAGTGTCGTTTAAGTGACGAGAGAGGATTATGTGAGTTGAATCGTCTAAGTAACATGAATTATTTATATGACTTGAGTCGTCTACGTGATGGGATTTGATTATATGGTGGAGTCGTCTAAGTAAAGTGGTTAAAAACTCTCTGTGATGTGGGTCATCTAAAGGAAAATCATTAATGTGGTTTGGGTTGTCCCAGTGACAAATGGTATCTATGAGGTGATAAAAGCTTGCAATACGTGCGGCTTGTGTGGCGCAAGAATCTGTACAATTAAATATAGCCTGAGTGGCAGTTGTTGTTTACAAGACATTTAGTTTTGTGCGCGTGTGGGGTATCTAGTGTGAGGAATAATTTAATTATGGAGAAGTACATATATGTGCTGTATATTTTGCCGATGTGGTATATACAGGTTATGCCTATGTGATGTAAGCGAATGTGGTGAACTTTAATTTGTAAGTAAGTATCTGATACGTGGTTAAGGTTGTTCCTAAATAAAGAAAGTTTCCTTTATCATTTGTTGTGCTCTTAAATATCAATTGTATATTTGCTTTTACTAAGAGTCTTAATGACTTTTCAGGAAAAATCATAAAGATGTGAGGAGTCCACTGCCGAGTCTAGAGAGTCGATTGGAATGTCATCATGGGATTCATTTTTTATATGTCATTTAAATTTACATTGTATTATTATATGTCATATTCTTGAGATCAATATTATGGTCTGTAAATAAGTAGGGCTCATGGCAAGCAGTAACACTAAGGGGTGTAATAATTTTTTTTTATATGCTTATTTTTATATATAAAGAAAGGTGTATGGAAATAAAAACATGGATTACAGATATTGTACCACAGATTGGGGTGTTACACACAAATAGAGACAGAGAAAGCGAGAGAGTCAGATATAGAAAGAGAGAGACAGAGATAGAAATATAACTCCATACTTGGATTGGACGAAGATCCTTATGTCTAGTTGAGGAAGATAACGAGCAAAGGAGACTAAAATCAAGAGTGCTATGGAATGAAGAAATTGGCACAAAAACAGAATAGTGAGTTTCTTCTCGCCAAAAATAACTAACTAAATGAAGGTTATGAAAAATATCTAGTGAGATAACTAGTCTATTGGAAACAAAATTTCAAGATTACCTCTGTGCTAACCCTTGGAATTACTCTTAGCCAATTTATATTCATAGAAAATAAAGTGAAAAAAAGAAAAATTAAAAGAAAATATATTTTCTTTGTTGTATTTGTTTGGAATGAAAATTTCTTTAGACAGTCATAAGAAATTTTATTTTTATAATTTGAAAAGTAGAAAAAATACAAGAAAATTATTATTATAAACTACACAAACGTGGTGAGTCTATGCTTATTTACTCTTCGAAGAACCTACATGTGGTGAACACGTGAAATATTACATACAAAAACTTAATAGCAGCTGACATAACAATTTAATTGTTAAAATTTTAGAATTTAAGAGCTCAATTGACATAAAATTTATTTCAAAGGCTTAATTAATCATAGGATTATAGTTTAACAATCATTTGTATAGTTTACTCTATAAATTTAATGAGGGTGGGGACGTATATTTGTGGACGGACAATGCTATGTATACAAAAAAATATATATAAAACTTTCACCAAATCATAAATGAGAACCCACCACTAATTCAATAATTACAATTAATTTATTGCAAATTTTTGTGTATTATCCTTTGCGGACATCATTAGAAAATTCGGAGCGGCCCTGCAGAACAACTTGGAAAACCGGATAGCTAAAAAATCGTTGAGGACCCGGTTGATTATGGTATTTTTAATTTTTTATGCAAACCCACTTCAACCTTTATTTCATATTCCGGCGGATCAGGTTTTGATATAAAATACAGAGCCCAACACCTTTCAGCCCTAAAACTATATCATTCTCTCTCACCGCTTCTGCGTCTCTGGACCACCTCACTACTCGCCAGTCATCCCGTCGGCCCACCGNGAGTCAGATATAGAAAGAGAGAGACAGAGATAGAAATATAACTCCATACTTGGATTAGACGAAGATCCTTATGTCTAGTTGAGGAAGATAACAAGCAAAGGAGACTAAAATCAGGAGTGCTATGGAATGAAGAAATTGGCACAAAAACAGAATAGTGAGTTTCTTCTTGCCAAAAATAACTAACCAAATGAAGGTTATGAAAAATATCTAGTGAGATAATTAGTCTATTGGAGACAAAATTTCAAGATTACCTCTGTGCTAACCCTTGGAATTACTCTTAGCCAATTTATATTCATAGAAAATAAAGTGAAAAAAAGAAAAATTAAAAGAAAATATATTTTCTTTGTTGTATTTGTTTGGAATGAAAATTTCTTCATACAGTCATAAGAAATTTTATTTTTATAATTTGAAAAGTAGAAAAAATACAAGAAAATTATTATTATAAACTACACAAACGTGGTGAGTCTATGCTTATTTACTCTTCGAAGAACCTACATGTGGTGAACACGTGAAATATTACATACAAAAACTTAATAGCAGCTGACATAACAATTTAATTGTTAAAATTTTAGAATTTAAGAGCTCAATTGACATAAAATTTATTTCAAAGGCTTAATTAATCATAGGATTATAGTTTAACAATCATTTGTATAGTTTACTCTATAAATTTAATGAGGGTGGGGACGTATATTTGTGGACGGACAATGCTATGTATACAAAAAAATATATATAAAACTTTCACCAAATCATAAATTAGAACCCACCACTAATTCAATAATTACAATTAATTTATTGCAAATTTTTGTGTATTATCCTTTGCGGACATCATTAGAAAATTCGGAGCGGCCCTGCAGAACAACTTGGAAAACCGGATAGCTAAAAAATCGTTGAGGACCCGGTTGATTATGGTATTTTTAATTTTTTATGCAAACCCACTTCAACCTTTATTTCATATTCCGGCGGATCAGGTTTTGATATAAAATACAGAGCCCAACACCTTTCAGCCCTAAAACTATATCATTCTCTCTCACCGCTTCTGCGTCTCTGGACCACCTCACTACTCGCCAGTCATCCCGTCGGCCCACCGTCCACAATCAGCAGTTCATCGTTCATCTCTCTCAGTCGCAGTCGCAGTCGCAGTTGCAGGCTTGCAGCAAGCCACTGTCCATCGTCCACCAAACATCTTCCACTACGTTGGAATGGTTCAAATTCCGTTGTCTTCACACCCAACCCAGAAACAGAAGTTAGNTCGCAGTCGCAGTCGCAGTCGCAGTTGCAGGCTTGCAGCAAGCCACTGTCCATCGTCCACCAAACATCTTCCACTACGTTGGAATGGTTCAAATTCCGCTGTCTTCACACCCATCCCAGAAACAGAAGTTGGNAAATTTCTTTAGACAGTCATAAGAAATTTTATTTTTATAATTTGAAAAGTAGAAAAAATACAAGAAAATTATTATTATAAACTACACAAACGTGGTGAGTCTATGTTTATTTACTCTTCGAAAAACCTACATGTGGTGAACACGTGAAATATTACATACAAAAACTTAATGGCAGCTGACATAACAGTTTAATTGTTAAAATTTTAAAATTTAAGAGCTTAATTGACACAAAAATNAAATATTACATACAAAAACTTAATAGCAGCTGACATAACAATTTAATTGTTAAAATTTTAGAATTTAAGAGCTCAATTGACATAAAATTTATTTCAAAGGCTTAATTAATCATAGGATTATAGTTTAACAATCATTTGTATAGTTTACTCTATAAATTTAATGAGGGTGGGGACGTATATTTGTGGACGGACAATGCTATGTATACAAAAAAATATATATAAAACTTTCACCAAATCATAAATGAGAACCCACCACTAATTCAATAATTACAATTAATTTATTGCAAATTTTTGTGTATTATCCTTTGCGGACATCATTAGAAAATTCGGAGCGGCCCTGCAGAACAACTTGGAAAACCGGATAGCTAAAAAATCGTTGAGGACCCGGTTGATTATGGTATTTTTAATTTTTTATGCAAACCCACTTCAACCTTTATTTCATATTCCGGCGGATCAGGTTTTGATATAAAATACAGAGCCCAACACCTTTCAGCCCTAAAACTATATCATTCTCTCTCACCGCTTCTGCGTCTCTGGACCACCTCACTACTCGCCAGTCATCCCGTCGGCCCACCGTCCACAATCAGCAGTTCATCGTTCATCTCTCTCAGTCGCAGTCGCAGTCGCAGTTGCAGGCTTGCAGCAAGCCACTGTCCATCGTCCACCAAACATCTTCCACTACGTTGGAATGGTTCAAATTCCGTTGTCTTCACACCCAACCCAGAAACAGAAGTTAGCGTACTCCCGTGGGTATTTCTACTTCTCTATATTTCCCTAGTTTCAATGCCTTCAAAAACCAAGAAACACTCGAAGACAGCTTCATCAAAGTTCTCACACTCTGACCAGACTTCGCCTTCATCATCCTCAAATTTGACGCCAAACCCAGATGTTGAATTCAGTGAAGAAGACCTCTTGTCCGCTCTAGATGAAGCTTCCTTGAAATACCCATCTCTTATTGGGAAAACTGCAGTTATTGGCAGAGTCACAGAGGATGTTGGTGAGGTTGTGGATTCCAAAGGCTGCAAGATTTGGCTTTCTCAGTCTTCTATGGTGGCTTCTTCCATCAGCCCCGGGTCCACCGTATCCGTAAGTTCAATACCACTTCAATTCACCACTCTTATTCTAAAAAAGTCAGTGTTCAATTACGTAATGTTTTTTCAATTAAGTAATGTAATATTATAAATGTCTGGGTGATCTGCTCCAGTGAGAAAATTCTTTTACTCATGGCATTCTTATGTATTGACCTCAATTTCTTGCTGTCAAACTCAAGATTTTTAATTTTAGACATGATTTTGGGTGTAGAAAATGTAGGTTAATTCGAAAGTGTGATGGGAACAGTACTTGACCGTTATTTGTTTTGGGCTGAATTTGGATAAGTGCATTTTTAGAAATTGTTTAGCAATATTATTAGAGCCATTTTTCTTATTAAACAATAAACAATATTCTTATTTGTATTTTCTGATTTGGGCCAAACAAAATTTTCAAATTAGGACTGTATTTGAATTTTAAGCAAAAGAATTACAAGATTTTCATATGACAAGGTAGCGTCAAGATTACTAGATTCCTTGTCTTTGAGTTTTTTTTTGTGAATTTCAAGATTTACAACCAAATCTCAAATGTGGCTGTAATTTTGGCCAATTTGATGCATATTACTCAAGTGTCTACTCTTTATGAAAGGAAATTAGTTTTGCCGGTAGAGCGTCAGCCTTGGTGCAACGGTAAAATTACTCCGTGACCTGATGGTCACGAGTTCGAATTGTGGAAACAACCTCTTTGCTTGTAGAGATAAGACTACATACATCTAATTCTCCCCAGGCTCCCACCATTACACTGAGTATGCTCTTTTTTAGTTTGCCTTAGTGCGCCTACAATTTGGTTTTTTTTTGTTTGCTTTATTTTTGGCCCATTTAAGAGGTTAATGCTGCTTTTTTTGTAATTCGGATTTTGATTTTGTTTCACCTTGGTCAATATTTGAGATTTCATGCTGAATTTTCATAATTTTGCTGCATTTTCCAAATTTATGAAGAATATCAAAGTACTCTTTTTTCACAAAGTTCTACTCTTTGAATTTACTTGTAAAAAGTTTATATCTGCAAAAGTTCTGTATATTTAGCCAAATCTTTTAGTAACTATTCCCATCATTTCTTTTTTGATATATGATTGTTTGACCTTGAACTAATCTTGCCGATATCAATCCTTGCCAGTTCTGAGTTTTAGCGGCTGTTCTATTTCTGGATATGAGGATATTGTGTAAAGCTCTTCCAAGTGATTCTCTATTAAAACATTTAACAATTTGATTGTTGGAATATAGGGATATATGCGCATACAATTAAGTCATTTTTGTATTGCTTTTGGTTCGACATCTATAGTGCCATGGTATATTATCCCTATTGTATTTTATATTTCAAAATACCATTCTTCATATGTTACTTAGTTTTACACTAGTAATTTTTTTATATTGCACGTTGGGATTGATGGTTGTTGCATTGACTCATTGACAGGTTTCCCTCACTTATTCGGGAAAGAAAATGTCAAGTAACTTGCCTCTCAGCTCTTTGCCAGATGAATGTGCTAGACATTTTGGGTTTGCCTCTACGGATTTAATGGCTAATGAAGCGGGAAACTACTTTGTTCTAGCAACTGTGTTTCCCTCTTGTAAGGTTTGAATGTAGTTATGTGCCTTAGGTCATCTGTGTTTCTTCTATCAACTATTTCGTGTGATTTGAAAATGTTGGAAGGTAAAGAAGCATGCATAGCCTAGCTGTCTATCTCAAAGTAATGGCTATTAATTGGATGAACTCTTGGTCTGAACAACACCCAAATAAAGAAAAGAAAAAAATGTTTTGGGTGTTGTTCGCTAAATTTTCATTATTTGTAAATATTTCTCCGCTGAATAGAGAATTTGTAGATTCAAAATTGTCTGTGGAGGATGGAAATTATTCAACCTTGATAAAAATTTATTGAACTATAATCTCTAGCACTGATGCTTCTTTCTTATAAGGAAATTTGGAGCACCACTTCCATCCTACTCTACTTTCATGGTTCTAATTAATTATTTATTTTTTATCTACTAGTGTTCATGTGGTACGTGGGGTATTCTAATCTGCACATAATGGTTACTGAGCATAGGATTAGGGTACGGGAGCGATTTGACATCATGTGATTTGTTCATTCATTAACTTTTCACTATTAAGGCAGTTGAAGTGAATTCAATAGTAAAATTTTTTCTTCTTCTTTTTTGGTGGGTTGGGTGGTAGCTTATGAGTACAACATCTCCTTGTTTTAGAACTATTTATCCAACACAATAAGATTGTGGTACTGGAAATATAATAGTCTAGTCTGCAAATCCTTTGTCAGTTGTAACTGATCATTCATTTAATCGCCTTACAAAATAAATTGGATGCACCCAGTGACTGTCAAAGTTTTCCAAATAAAATTTAGAATTGTTTGCTATCTGTTTATTTGTTGTTGTCAGTGTCATGCTATATTGATTGAATATGTCACAAATGCTCTTTTTAGATTTCCTTGTGCACTTATATAAAATATTTACTGTAAGTTGGATGAACTCTGCCAAGTCTGAATTAGATGAATTCTAGTCAGCACAAAAAAAAAAAAAAGAAAAAAAGAAAAGGATTGGATGTTGTCCTTTAAATTGTTCATTATTTGTGAAAACATATCAGGTNAAAAAAAAAAAAGGAAAAAAAGAAAAGGATTGGATGTTGTCCTTTAAATTGTTCATTATTTGTGATAACATATCAGTTGAATAGCGAATTTGTTGATTTTAGGGATGGAAAAGAAATATTATTGATGAAAAATTAATGAACTATAATCTCTACAACTGATGCTCTGTATAAGAAAATCTAGAACACCAGTTATATCTTACTTTAATTTCATGGTCTTACTTCTTTATTTATGTTTCTACTACTCAACATGGGGCCTGGGGGGATTTAGGTTTTCTGATCTGCTCATAATGCTTACGGAGTCATAGGATTAGGATGTGGGGTGATTTGACATCATGTGATTTGTTCATTCATTATCTTTTCTCTAATATTAATGCAGTTGGGAAAAAATACAGGAGCAAAGTTTTTTCTTCTTTTTTGTGTGTTTGTGTTTTTTTCTTTTTTTCTTTTTGGGGGTGTGTGTGTGTGTGTAATTTCTTGGTACATCTCCTTGTTATTTTTTTTGTTCATGCCAGACAATAAGATTGTGGTGCTGATCAGGATAATCTAGTTTGAAAATCCTTTCTCAGTTGTAACTGATGATTCATATCATTGNTTTCTTGGTACATCTCCTTGTTATTTTTTTTGTTCATGCCAGACAATAAGATTGTGATGCTGATCAGGATAATCTAGTTTGAAAATCCTTTCTCAGTTGTAACTGATGATTCATATCATCGACTTACAAGCTCAAATTATGTGCACCCCGAGAATGTTGAAGTTTTCTGAATGAAATTTAGAATTCTGTTTACTGCCTGTTTACTTATTGTTTTCAGTGTCATGATATATTAATTGAATATGTCACAAAATGCTCTTTGTAAATTTCCTTGTGCACTTACTATTTAATATTTACTGTAACAAATGAACTAAAACTATGATATGCAATCCTATGGGCTGTTGTGAAGATTTTTTTGGTTTCTTTTTTATTGTGTTAGGGAGAATTTAGGAGTAAATTCTCTCACTATAATTTCATTGGTTTATTAATCTTGCTTTTAATTGTTAATTTGCTATACCTTATTTTGCTGTTGTGTGGATAATATTGCAGCTTGTACGAAAATCCTGATGCATTATATCCTATGAACATGGAAGTTGGGGTTAACTTGAGACTCTTCTCATCGCAGGTTTTGAAAAATGGAGTGCGACTGTCGTCAAGCCTTTCGTGTATGATGGGTTTTCCTGCTTCAGGCAGAATTGTATTTATTTATCCTGTTCACAGTCAATCTGTAGAAGGACTTTTAGATGAGAATATCAAGTCACATATTACTGCAGCTAGTTGCTTCTCATTATACGACTGCAAGGAATTATATTTATCGTCAGTTTGTTCTAAAAATGCATCTACAATGAACAGTAACCTCTTAACTCGGATTGATTTTCCTGTGGAAACATGTCACAGTCGTGCCGACAATGGGAAGATTTCATCCCCTAAGACGCCAGTATTCTCTCAGTCAAAGTTAAGTTCTGCTAACACTAGTCAGATGAATTCAACAAGATATGAGGAGTCAGTATCAAATTCAGCACATGCATATGGGACATCTTTTGATGTACTTCACATAGGAGAATTATTGGCGGATGAAAGTGCAAAGAAACTGCTGCAAACCTGCATTACGTCTTGGTTATGTTCTCGTCATCTACTCTTTGGAAATCTTGTGGTCATCCCAATACTTTCAAAGCTTTGTATTTTCCAGGTTTTGGGTGCTAATAAATTGTCTGCAAATAGAAATATTCAAAATCTGATGGCTGAAAGCTCAGATGATATGTCTTGTCAGGCTCCAGGTCTGGTGGACCATGTAGATGGTGCCTTTTTTATAGACCGTGAAACAGAAGTATATGTATACTCGCTGTTGGATTCTGCTCTAAGAACTCCAGAGGCAGGTTTACAACATCTGGGACCCGAGTGTGAGGATATCAAAGCAAATGCAGGAGTTAATTTTTCAAAATTGGGTGGTCTGGCAAAAGAATATGCAATTTTGAAAGATATAATAGTTTCATCATCGGTCAAGGGTACTTTGTCAAGGTATGTTATGTAAAATTTTCAATACAGTGAGTTAATTCAGTTGTTTTTTAGACCTGTCTTACTTCTGGGATATATGGGACTCACTTGCATGATTGCACAATAAAAATACTGATATTTGTGAAGTTCTCTCACTGTATAATGCTTATGCTATCGTTTACATAGGATCTAACTTCTCAACACTCTGAGCTTGAGAATGACACTTTGCACATTAGAAATGTCTAGATGAGAACAGCCATGCAGTATTGTTTTCGCAAATTTACCAACGTAAGATACAATTGTAGATCTGGTTGTTGAATTTGTTGTGTCATTGTCAGCTATATATAACGATAATGAAATACTAAGTTGTGACGGTCTTAATCCCTGATAAATGTTGGTCATGTGGTTTAACCTTTTTCAGAACTCAGTTTAATAGAAAATTGAGATGAACAAAGACCGAGTTTAGTGCCATCTCTAAATTGCAACACTAAGAAGCTACTTAGGATGCAGTCTGGGCATCCTCCCTCTGTTAGCCTTGAGCTTTTGGTCAGGATTGCTTTTTGAATTTCTTGAGTTAGGGAATTCACAATTGTTGGGGTATTAAAAGGAGACATTTTTTTTTGCCAACGTGGAATTCTTGTTGGCTGCCTGAGGTCAGGAGATTGAATATCATTGGTTATTTCTTTCTTCGTCTTCATCCTTTTTTTTGGGTTAAAACTATATTCTCTAAAAACTCTATTGCTATTTATGGTCAAAATATTTAAAAGATGTTTTTTATGAACTGGAAACTTAAGAATTCAAATTCCATTTGGTGTAATTTGATTTGGCTTCAATCTCTGTTAAACATGAGTGGGAGTTTTATGCACAGTAGAATGTATCAACTAACAGGAAAAATTTCAAAATAGTGTGGAATATAACCGCTGGAAATCGTAGGTTGTTAGCTTCATATGAGTGGCCTATGGGGTAAATGATTATCTTCATTCTTTATGCATTTAATTTTAATATAATTGACATCTCGTGTTTTTCTTTTACTTTAGCAAGATTATATATACCTTTTTCTCCATCCTTTGTGTCTAGTTTAGAGTAAAGATTATCATATGCTTTGCACTTAGCATGTCTTACTCTCTTTTTGACTTCTTTACTTGCAAGTTTGTAACTTTTAAAGTACTCTTCGTTGTTAGATTTTTGGTCATGTTTTATAGCACTCTCTTTTTGCTTTTACCGCAACTTGGACCTCTTCATTCCACCACCAAATTTCTCTCGTTAATGGTCCATCGCCTCTCGATTCTTCAAAAACCTTGATGTTTTTTTTAATACACTTGACCATCGTATTCCACATTACATTTGTTTCGTCTTCTAAATCCCTCACTACGTCTTTTAGTATTTTAATCTTAAATAAATCTATCTTTTCACCTTTCAAATTCCACCATTTAATTATTGGATTCCGAATCTCTTTGTTATGTCTTACGTTATTTTTAATAACTACATATAGTATCATTATCTTATGTTGTGTGGTTAAACTCTCTACAGGAATGACTTTACAGTGCTTACATGATCTACGGTCCACTTGTCTAGTTAGGAAAAAATCTATTTGACTTTTATTTAATACATTTTTATAAATTATTAAATGTTCATTCCTCTTTTTAAAATACGTATTTGTTACTATAAGGTCATATGCTATAGCAAAATCTAAGATAGACTCTCCAACATCATTCCTATCTCCAAACCCATGTCCACCATGTATCCTCTCATATCCAATTAGGTCCTTTCTTATGTGGCCATTAAAGTCTCCTCCTATGTATACTCTTTCTCATATAGGTATTGCTCTCATTAATTCCTCTATCCCAAAGTTGAGTTTTAATGTGTTCATCTAATTCTATTTGTGGTGCATATGTACTAATAATATTAATTGTACTTTCTCTTATTACAAACTTAATTCATATTATTCTATCTCCTTTCCTAATAACAGTTGCCACTTCCTGTTTAAGATACGAATCTGCTATTATTTCTACCCCATTTCTATATCTATCTTTCCCAGTATAGTAAAGTTTATAAGCTGTATTTTTTACTTCCTAAGCTTTAGCCCCTACCCTTTTAAATTCTTGTGGGCATGCTATATTAACTTTTCTTTTAATCATGATTTCAAGTAGCTCAATTCCTTTACTGGTTCTTATATTCCAAGTTGCTAACCTAATCTTAGTATCCTAGACTAACCTCTTTAGCCGCGCTCGTCTTGAGTGACGTAGGAATCCTTGTGAATTTTTGATTGCATTCTAGCGACTAAAATGCTGCAACCCTCGCCCATCTTTCAAAACACTCGCAGGCAGGTGCAACACATTGCTTTTGGGAAATGTCCTAGTATTTACACGAATAATCTTTGGATTCATGTTCATGTTTGGTTTGACTGGTTTTACGCTGGTTGTCAGCTACCTAACGCAACCCTCCTCCTTTCTTGGGACCAGCTGTGCACAAGAGTACACACGAGGAGGTATTTAACGAACAATGACATAGCAGCAAGAAAATGGATTTTCTGGTTCACAAATTATGACGAAGGTCCAATTAGTGTTCCCTCAAATTTGTTAGTGACTGCCTCACATTTAGTTCCACGTTGTTGTCTTTTCGCATGTGGGTGATGTGTTGAAAACAATTTGCTCAATAACTATTTATATGTTTTTATTTTCATCTAAATAAGATAAGTATTCCATTTTCAAGCGCGTCAAACTTCATAATTTTTTAACTTGTCTCTCTCCTGTTTTTGATTCGTTGATTTTTTGTGGTGGCTGAAACAACTCTTGAGAAAGACACTTGACCACCAGTATTTGGTCCAATATGAGTAATATGAAAAATTTGGTTCGTGGGTTCACTTCCACCAGTTTTTGTAGTTGTAATAAGTGGTTCATTGTGCAAAACTGACAGAATTGTCCAATCTATTTTTTTTTTTTGTGGAAAAAGAAGTTTCTAGATGAATATTAGTGTTTTGCTCCAATGGGATTTAAAACCTGAAAGGAAATTCGAATGTTCATTTGAGTTGTCCTTTCTGACTCCCGTGAATAATGATATGCTTCAGATGCTAATTATTGGGTCAGTATAGTTGAACTAGAGGCACACGTATAAATGCTGAATATAGCTGCAGTTCAAACTTATAGCTATCAACCCATCAAGGAAGGAAGGGGGGAGGTGGGGCTGCTAGATACTCATGTCAACAATAAAAAATTTACCAAAGTAAATCATTGTGCCTTTTTCTTTTTCCCTTTTTTTGTATTTTTCAGATAACAATAACAAAAATAAAATGCATCTATCTAATGCTAGAAACAAGAAAAAGTGCAATAAGATAAACATCCTAAACTACTAAAAGGGACTCAACCCTAAAAATGAAAATCTTCCTCCATTTCCATTGTGGTTGCCTAATCGAATGAGAAATTGACAATCTTATTGTAATACTTTGATGTAACATAGTGTATATATTGTCTTCTTGGAGTGTGCCTGTTTTTTATGTGGTGGCAAGCTAATTTATTTCCTGTTCTCATCTGATAAAAAAATAATATTATGCAGCCAAACGAAAGCAACTTTTTGTGTTTTACTTTTCCATCGTTATATCTTGACAGTTGTTGTAACTGTATTTAGTCTGGGCTTACGGCCAACAAAAGGAGTGCTTCTTCATGGCCCACCTGGCACGGGAAAGACGTCTTTGGCTCGATTATGTGTCTGCGATGCTGGTGTCAACCTCTTCTCTGTAAATGGACCTGAAATTATAAGCCAATATTATGGGGAAAGTGAGAGAGCCTTGCATGAAGTCTTCGATTCAGCTAGTCGAGCTGCACCTTCTGTGGTTAGATTTCTGCCCCAGATGGTCCAATTTCTAAAACTAGCCCATTTTAAGATAATGAATCTGCTCTTTTCAATTTGTTTATTCCGTGACTGAAAAACTGACATACACAGTAGGAGATGCATTATATCATTTAATGTACTGAATCTTTCAAGTTGAAAATTTAAACTTGTAATTACTATGTAAACATTCTATATATGGGTCGAACTGCAGTGGACCCAACTAGATGGAAACACTGCTGGGGAAGGATCCCCAAGTTCTGAACTTCTGTCCACAAATGAAATTTGGTCTAACCGAAGATGTTTTATGGGATTCTGGATGTCCATAAATCTTAATACGCATATTTTTGTTCTGTTGTGTTTCAACCTGTTAATTTGTGAGCTTCTGCTTAAACATAATGGATAGATAATTGAAACAAATAAGATGAATTCCTTATGGTACTAGAAATTGCATTGTGGCACAGGAGATTACATTGTTTATAGATCATGTTGTGATCACAATTATAACTTGGTATACTGTGTGTACAACCTTAAAATAAGTTACTGCATTTGTTCTTTCAATTATTTTAACAGCTTCTCCCTGTTACAAATACTGTTGAGGAACATAGGGGTCTAGAGAAGTAGCTGGCAATTTAGCTTAAACCCAACAGCAATCCTGACATGCGGGCTCATGATATCTGATTTGCAAGCAATGATGGCTTTGGGTACTACTGATCCAAGTTGGTTGGTATGGTAATTAATACCATATTCGTTACAAATCTCCCTGAGACTTGACTGATTGATAATCCAAGTAAGGGTCATTCTCATTTATATTAGGTAAGACTTGATCAGTGCACATTGTGCACTTTGAAATTGGTTCATTAATCTTTTATGTAGTTAAGCTGGTAGTAAGATTTGTTGGGCTTTCCTTTATAAACAATAACTTAATGATTTTACAATTGTACTTGGAACAATCGAATTTGTTCTCTAGGTATTGAATAGTTCATCATATTTACATTGTAGCCATTTTTCCCGAACATATTAAGTAATTCTCAAAGGTTTTGTTTTTGAAACCGAGTGCCTTCCATGGTAAAATTTTCAGTGGCTTTTTCTGATGGAATAATGAGTTCATTTCACTTTACAAACTGGCCATGTAGCTGTGCCCTTTGTGTTTAAAAGGTTCAGTAACAGCTTCTGCATACAGGTGTTCATCGATGAGTTGGATGCCATTGCACCTGCACGTAAGGATGGAAGTGAAGAGCTTTCTCATAGAATGGTTGCAACATTGTTGAATTTGATGGATGGGATTGGCAGAACTGATGGGCTACTTGTTATTGCTGCGACCAACAGACCAGACAGTGTAGAGCCTGCTCTCAGACGGCCTGGAAGATTTGACAGGGAAATTGAAATAGGTGATTTGAAATCATTCTTTCTTCTTTAAGTTCCCGACTCCTTAAAACCTTTATGAATCAATTATGCTTTATGTTTCATGTCATAAATGACCCTATATGACTGTTCATTATGTATGTTATGACCCTAGCTGCTGCATACTTATGAATTTCTAAACATTAGTGCAGGGAACTATTTTCATTTCGAAACAGTCAAAACGTCCGAAACATTTTTGTTTCTATGGAAATTGAAACTAACCATTGATTAAATATCAAAATTCCTATGTTTTGTTAGGTTTTGAGGTGTTTTGACATATTTCGACATATGTTTCGGAATGTTTTGGTGTGTTTTGACCAANGTTTCTATGGAAATTGAAACTAACCATTGATTAAATATCAAAATTCCTATGTTTTGGTAGGTTTTGAGGTGTTTTGACATATTTCGACATATGTTTCGGAATGTTTTGGTGTGTTTTGACCGATGTTTCAAAAATAATTTTTAATTTTTTTTCTTTATTTCCATCTTATTCCTGAAATGTTTCTGAAATATTATCAAACCGTTTTCATATCCAATCTCACCGAAACTATGCAACGAAACAAAATTTTGATCCTTGTATTAGTGACGAATGCTTGGAATTGATTAAGTTGTTGTTTTCTAAACACATTTGTTAGATCCACATTGGTAAAATTACATTTCCCAAAATAGTGCATAAGGTTTGTGGATCTCTCCAATTATCAATTTCAGAGCAAAATTACCTCTACCAAATTTCAAGTGGTAATTTAGTCTCCAAATACAAATAGATCTCGCAATTTAAATATTACAAAGCCTATAATAATAATTTCTGATTGCCATCATTAAATATTACACCCATAATCAATTTTTTTTTCCAAAATCAACCAGAGAAACATTTAAGCAAGCAAGAATACAATGGACCTATTTGAAGCTAGCTTTTGAGGGCTTTAGAGTAAAATAAGCCTGGTCCGTTTGGACCTTGAAATTTTTACCAGTTTATGCAGTAGTTTTTTGGACCCAAAAAAGTTTATTTAGGCTGTTTTTTTTTTTTTANGTTTGGACCTTGAAATTTTTACCAGTTTATGCAGTAGTTTTTTGGACCCAAAAAAGTTTATTTAGGCTGTTTTTTTTTTAAAACAAATTTAGGTTGATTAAAAAAGTTAATTTTATAAGCTTTTCTTTCGGCTTTTTTGAAATTTTTTCGTTGGTTCCACATAACTTTTTAGTTTATTATATTCATAAAATATTATTAATGATGTTAAAAAAAATTAAAATTCATATTTTGGGAACTATATGCATAATTTATACATACATGTAATTATTTTTTTATTTTGATACAAAAAAATTAGAAAGTCACTCCAAACGAACTTTCTCAACTTTTTCTCCTTAAAGAACACCCCCAACAGTTTTAAGGGATTTTTTTATCTTTGATTTTTTTGCGAATCTTTTCAAACTATAGCTTTTCACCTAAAAAAACAAGTTCCAAATAGGCCCGATATGACAAAAAATAATGTAATAAGAATAATAGACATATCAAATTGAATCGGAACAAATTTTCCAACATGGCAACATGAGTCAAATACGACCTCAATCGAAATCATATTCCAACCCAAGGATCAAAATATCGTGTCAAAATGTTCGAAACGTTTCCGATTTTTAACACACTGAATTGAAACAAGGGTTGAAACAAAAAATTCTATTGTTTCGATTGAAACGTCAATGTTACGGATGTTTCATTCGAAATAGAAAATTGCAGTGTCTGGCCAAAAAGGGGAGAGATTCTACCCTTGTCATCCTCGTCTTCAGCAGAACAGAGAAAGAGAGCNCAACCCAAGGATCAAAATATCGTGTCAAAATGTTCGAAACGTTTCCGATTTTTAACACACTGACATGAAACAAGGGTTGAAACAAAAAATTCTATTGTTTCGATTGAAACGTCAATGTTACGGATGTTTCATTCGAAATAGAAAATTGCAGTGTCCGGCCAAAAAGGGGAGAGATTCTACCCTTGTCATCCTCGTCTTCAGCAGAATAGAGAAAGAGAACACTGTGTTTAAATTGAACGAAGGAGAAGAGTTCAACAACTTACAGGGGTCCATGAGTCTAGATTTGAGCAATCAAAGCCATCGTTCACTCCCACGGTCTATATCCAGTCTCCTCAGGTACTATCTTCTTTTTTCTTGTTATTCTCTCTTCCTTCTCCGTTGGTGCTTGGTCTTCATCGAGTCCTTCTCTCCCTCTGATACAGATCAGGGAGGGGGATGACATTTTCCTTCTCTCAAATCTGTAGATATAGGATGGGGATGAGGCTGACGTCTCTCAGATCTTCTTCTCTCTCAGATCCTTCTTAGATCTTCTTTTTTCTCCCCTCCCCCCTCTCTCGTGCGTTTGCCTGAGAATAGACGATCGTCTTTTTTATTTCTCTCCCTCTCCATTTTTTCTTTTATCTTTGTTTCATTTTTTCCTCTCTCCTGTTTTATTTTTTTCCTTTATTTTTGTCAGGTCTTTAGATTTCTTAATTAAATTAATGCCCTTCTTCCTTTTTTTTTTTTTTTCCTTTTATCATTGTTAATAACTTATGTTTTTTTTTTTGGGTAAGTANGGGATGAGGCTGACGTCTCTCAGATCTTCTTCTCTCTCAGATCCTTCTTAGATCTTTTTTCTCCCCTCCCCCCTCTCTCGTGCGTTTGCCTGAGAATAGACGATCGTCTTTTTTATTTCTCTCCCTCTCCTTTTTTTCTTTTATCTTTGTTTCATTTTTTCCTCTCTCTTGTTTTATTTTTTTCCTTTATTTTTGTCAGGTCTTTAGATTTCTTAATTAAATTAATGCCCTTCTTCCTTTTTTTTTTTTCCTTTTATCATTGTTAATAACTTATGTTTTTTTTTTTTGGGTAAGTAATAACCCTTGTTGTAATCCCCCCCCCCCCTTTTTTT